GCGTGCGAGGTTTGACAGAACGGTTGAACTACCTCGAGAGCCAGAGAAACAAGGACAACTGCCGTGTTCAACATTTTTAAATTCTATCCAGAAGTATCTTTACAGAAGTTCAAAAAAAGAAAGGGCTTGGCAGGACCCAGACGCTTTCGTGTACACAAGAAAAAAATCAAACTCATTGTCGTCCCTTACCACTTTTTTTTAAAACTTCTTATGGTCTTAACCGAGTTGTGCTGGGGTAGCAAGTTCAGACTAAGGAGGGTAGTGTAGAAGACAATAAACGTTAAAACCTTTGAAGAAACCATTACTGGTTAAATCGATTGTCCTTTCCTACAAGACAGGCTCAGTGACCCTTCCTGCTCAGCCCTCCTCAGGCTTTTTTTAAATATACATACATTTTACCCCTTCATCTAGTTTTGAAAGCCTCCTTTCTGTGGTCTCTCGCCTTCCACCTTAACAGTAGAACACGTTTTCCCAGCGAGACTAGAAGGACGCTGCCTCCCCCTGTCCCTCCCTACACATCTTACAGATTCCTGACGTGCTTCAGATGTATAGCTTGGCTTTGTTTTAATACCACAGGCGTGCACAACTCCTCTTCTGTGCTTCGGGCACGCTGTGGATTCCCAATTCCTCCTACTCCTGTTCCCGACACGACAATGAACCAGCTCTGAAGCCAAACTCCAGAAGCGCTCCCATAAAAACCCAACAAGGAACACAGACACACGGAGTTAGGAATGCCCCGCTGCTCCGGTTTTAATAATCCCACTTCCACCCCGGCCACGGGCATTTGCCCCGCGCTGCGTCCCAGCCCGTGCCTCGGCGCAGCTCCGCCACCCGGGCTGCGGCCAGGAGCAGGAAGGGTTCGTGATCCGAGGAAACGGCGGCCCCGCAGCCGAGGAGCCAAAGGCTTCCCAGTGCCTGCCAGGGGCCTCACCCAAGGTGGGCTCCGGCCACGCCCATGCCCTGCAAACCCCCAAGGCTGCGGCTGTTGCAGGGGGAGCTCCACGGGGGACCGCCCCAGAGCTCCACGGGTGACAGCCCGAACACGCGCCGTGACGATGGCACGGCCACCTCAGCCCTCCAGGATGCGATTGATTAACTTCATTTCCTCAGCGGTCATGGGGTTGAGGTTAAATCCCTTCAGCTCAGCTTTACCTAAGAGAACACACAGAAAAATCAGGATTTTGCTACAACATAAGCGAAGCAGTCCGCGTGAAACTCTAGAGGGGCCACGGGGAGGGCAGGGCCAGCCCTGGAAGCTGATGCGGGGTCACCCCGGCGTGACGTGGGAGCCGGTTTAGCGTGCTGGTGGGCGACAGCTCTGCACCAGGAGCCGTACAATACTGCTGGAGCAGGGGGGGCACTGCAAAGCCAGCGGGAAATTGGCTGCAGGAACACACAGAGCTCGGGAGTTTCTGGATCCTCCCGACGCGTGACGTCTGCTCCCAGATACTGAGAAGGTTCCAGAACGGGAACGTTTACCTTGAGCTTCGAAGAGGCGGTTGACCTTCACACGCAGCTCTTTCCGGAGGTTGTTTATCTCCTCATCCAGGTGTTCCTGGTCTGAGACAAGCGGGACAGGAGTAAGGAGGACTGCGGGCTCCGGGGTGCAGGCTGAACCTCCCGCAGGACTCTCGGCGTGGCAGCCCAGGCCCGGGGGGGGGAGAGGGCTCTTCCCCAGCAGCCTGGGGGTCCCACCCTGCCCTCCGCTGCCCCCCGGCCTGAGCCCCAGGTTGCTTCGTGCCCGAACGTGCTTCCCAGGGCACCGCTCGGGACAGCCGGGTGACGGTGACGGCCAGCAACTGCCTGTGGCTGCTGGCGGGAGGTTTTGGGCACGTCGAAGCCCAGCGCTGGACAGAATCCCGTTTATTTTTCTAAAATCTTATTATTACAGTTCAGGCTATACGTAGGCGGAGACTTTTGGGCCTTACCCTTCTGCAGCATCTCCTTGGTCTGTGCCTTTGGGAGCTCGATGAACATGTTCCCGAAGCAGACCATGGCCTTGCCTGGCGGGGAGAGGAGGAAGAGGAAGAGGAAGAGGCTTTGTCAGGGAAGCTTTCCTCCCCGGCCACGCAGCCGTTCCTCGGGCAGCGGGGCTCACGGTGGACGCAGCCGCGCGGGCCCG